TAAGACTACTCTCTGTTCCCCAGATACACCATGCTCTTCTATGCTTCTCTATTTAGCTAGGTGATAATTCCTCTGTCCCCAGTGGTCCTTCCACCTTTCCATCTGGTAAAATGTCACATGAATGTCAAGGCCCAGGTCAAAACTTCACCTTCTCTGTGAAATTTTCCTTGATTCCTAGGCAGGATTAATTTCCCTTTCTTTGTTTGTATACATGGCACTTTGTGCTTGTCTCTATAATAGATCTTATTATATAATAACGACATTAGTTGTGTTGTTGTCTGTCTATTCCATCAAAACCTAAATACCTTGAGGATAGCTGCAAGATCAGTAATTGGTTCTATTTAGTGTCTGGTATGTACTTTGTGCACATTGTGCATAGAAGAATGAATTGATGAATGCCTTGCCTACCTACTGAGGGCTGAAACACATTGGGAAGCAACATAGAAATATCTGTATTAAAGCTACGGAGGAACATCACTGAACAGTCATTTGGGATAGTTCTTATAATGAAAAGATTAGAAGTCACATTAATCCACACTGATTAAACATGATTTTAATTTACCGTGATTATTTTTTCTTTGTTACCATAAAAACATTATTACATTTTTCTCTCCATTCCAAAATTATTATTTAGTGATAAAAATCATTAAAATAGGTACATCTTGTCTTTAGCAACTTCATTAATGCAGCATTTCACATGAGTATTTCAAAGCATGCTAAAGAGTAAATTGCAAATGGTGAGGTGACTTTGGATTATATAACACCTAATTGGTTGTACAACACCTAACATTGTATACCAACCAATAGGTTTACTGTGCTCTGATAACAATGATAATGCTCATTAATATTTTTCCCACCAGGAAACTGAGATAATGAAAGAAATCATGCAAAATGGACCAGTTCAAGGTAAGCTTGTATGAATATGGCCTTGTTTTATTCATTCCTTTAATAAATGTTACATTGAGCTAATGTAAAAGGAGTTTAATAAAAGAAAGAAAACTTTTGCTTTGAGAGTATTCAGAAGGTTACAAGGCCTGATGTGGGAGCTCGCACCTGTAATCCTAGCTACTACTCAGCTACCCTGAGGTGTAAGGATTGCTTGAGCCCCGGAGTTCAAGGCTGCAGCAAGCTATAATCATGCCATTGCATTTCAGTCTGGGAGACAGTGTGAGACCCCATCTCTAAAAACAAATGAACAAAAAAACAATTTAAAAAGTATTCATAAGGGCTCAACAGTTTTAAAATCAGAGCAATTATAGCAGATATGCTCATCTAATAACTTCATTAACTGCCATTTTATTTTCAGAACATAGACTCATTCATAAATTGAACTCTAAAATATTAATGACACATTTGATAAAAGTCTGCTGTCTTTCTAAAGTGATCATGAAGGAACATAGAGTTAAATATGAAATATCAAGTGATTAATTTGCAATGAAGTTCACTTTATTCATTCAATCATATTTA